TCAGGGGGGTCCTCAGCCAGCCTGTGCCCTCTCGCAGTCTGGGACCCCTCGGGGGATGACCACTGCTGGCTTAGGACAGCTCCCTGGGGGGATTGGGCCTAAGCTGGCAGTCAGACATCCCTCTGGCAGCCCGGGAGCCCTTGGGGGATGTCCACTTGTCAGCGGGGAGCAGGCCTAAGCTGAAGTCGGACATTTTTAGCACTGCTGAGGAGGCGGGAGAGACTCCCACCACCACCGCTGTACTGGCAGCCATCAGCCTGGCTTGTGGCTGAGCAGAGCTCCCCCTGTGGGAGCACACTGACCACAGAGGGGAAGCTCCTGCATTGAGCGTCTGCCCCCTGATGGTCAGTGTGTGTCATAGTGACCAGTCATTCCCAGTCATTCTGCTGTTAGGGTCAATTTGCATATTACCCTTTTACTATATAGGATAGAGGCCTGGTGCATGGGTGGGGGCCGGCTGGTTTGCCCTCACCCCATGAGGGTGTGGCCATCCTGGGTTAGGGGCTGATGGGTGTTTGCAGGCTGGCCACGGCCCCCAGCCATCCAAGCTCCCAGTGGAGGCTGGCTGGAAGCAGGTATCTGGGATTTATTTATCTTCTATAATTGATACTTTGTTGCCTTGAGCAGAGGCCACAGCTGGCCAGGGCAGGCGGGAAGCTTGGCTTCCTCCTTCGCTGGGGAAACCAAGCCTCCTGCTTGTTCCAGCTCTATGGCTGCCGGCCGCCATCTTGGTTGGGTTAATTTGCATATAGTCACTCTGATTGGCTGGTGGGTGTCGCTTGGGGTGTAGCAGAGGTGCGGTCAATTTGCATGCTTCTCTTTTATTAGATTAGATTAGGACATCTGGATACCAGATAGGCGGAGCACCCAAATAGTGCCAGCACCCAAAGACGGGGAGTCAGAGGCTTTTAAAGGGCTCTACGTGGGCTTTTTCTGGGCAGAGAATTCTCTCTGCGGGTCTGGATTCTGGTAAAATCTGGAGGGGAGAGATAATGGTTTTAGCAAGTGGAATGTCCATGATGAAGTGGCCTAAAGGGCAGTTCCCAGTGCAGGGGGTATCAATTCAATTATTTGATCAGACCTAACATTATAATATCTGCACCCCCAAAATGGGAAACTCCAAAACACAACTGGCTCCAGTGATTTAAGATCTAGAATGGTGGTCCCCGACTCTCCCATTTTGCAGATGCAGAAACTGAGGCACAAGGAGACCAATGTCACTGATTTCAGAGAGGAAGGGAGAGGGAGAGAGAGAGATAGAAACACCAGTGATGAGAGTGAATCATTGATCTGGCTGCCTCCAGCGTGATTCCAGTTGATCTCAATCAGGGGTGAGTTTTCTCCCCAGGGGATATTGGTAATGTCTGTAGACATTGGTGGGGGGTAGGGTGCGACTGGCATCTGAGGCTGCAATGCTCAGGGCAGCCCCAAAGAGAATGACCCCGTCCAGGACGTCAGTGGTGCTGAGGCTGAGAAACTGCCCTGGAGCCCTTCTCCACCAGCACCTGTGACCCCCAGTTCTCAGGTTAGTCCTCCCGGGCGGGCGAAGGGCAGAGGGGACAGCAGGGAGCTGTTTGGTCCAAACAGGTCCGCTCCCTACTGACCTCCCCGGACGTGAGAGGAGATAATGGGGTTGATGGCAGGGTAAGCCATGTTTCTTTTCTTTTCTCTTTTTTTAAAAAAAATATATTTTTAATGATTTCAGAGAGGAAGGGAGAGGGAGAGAGAGAGAGATAGAAACACCAATGATGAGAGTGAATCATTGATCTGGCTCCTGCTGCAAGCCCCACACTGGGGATCCAGCCCACAGCCTGGCATGTGCCCTGGCCGGGAATCGAACTGGTTCATAGGTTGATGCTCAACCACGGAGCCATGCGAGCCCGGCTGAGCGCTCATATTTCTGACGGTCTCTGTGTGCCTGCTTAGGGAGCCTTTAGTCCTCCCTGCACACCAACTCCCCCAGCATCCACTCTGAGCAAAGGTGGGCGACTCTGAAAACACAGCTGGGGCCAGGCCCCTCCTTCCCACAACTATCCCAAAGGAACCTACAATACAGGGGTTGGCGTTGCACTTTCCACAACTCATCCAGCCTCTTTTCTCCTGCAAAGATGGCACCCCTAAACCTCGCCTGCAGGGAGCTCCCAGGGAAATGCCTGTGTCTAGAGGTCTCCCACACTCTGGGAGCCAGGCCCTCTCCCTTTAGAACCCTGGGCTCCCCTTGACCGTGGCAGTGTGGGGAGTCTCCCCTTGGTTGGTCATATCACCCCTTAATCAGGTTTTCCTTTAAACCAGAGGTCACCAACCTTCAGGACCCCATGGACCACCGGTGGTGACCACTGCTGTAAACTTCACATGGCCCGTGAGGGAGAGATTCCTGTCCTGATTTATCAAAGAATTCACACTGCAGTCCTGGCCGGGTGGCTCAGTTAGAGGGTTGTCCATATGCCCAGGTTTCGGGTTTGATCCCCAGTCAGGCACACAGAAGAATCAACCAAAGAATGCATAAATAAATGGAACAACAAATCGATGTTTCTCTCTCTCTCTGTCTCTCTCTGTCTCTTCTGTCTCTCTCCCTTCCTTTCTCTCTAAAATTCAATTTAAAAAAAAATAGAAAAAGAATTTCAACTTCAGACCCTTCCCAGGCTCA